CAGCCTGGCATCCCCCCTGGCCAGCTCCCCTGCCCCCCTGCCCCCCGGAACCAGCCCAGCCTCCCCCAGTCCGGCCTCCCCCCAGCCACCCCCCAGCCCGGAACCAGCCCGGCCTCCCCCAGCCGAGGGGCCGGGATCAAGCCCATTTATACCTGGGGAAGCTCCGCTCCACAGGCCAACGGCTGGCACAAGAGCCAGAGGCAGCGCTGGCAAAAGAAACCAGGAGTCCCAGGCCCCAGGCCTGGCTCTGCCCACCGGGCACCACCCGGTCTCGTAAGCCAGGCAGAGCCATGGACAGGCCTAGTCTGAGGTGTAAACCCTGGGCCCAGCCGCTGGAGTGGGAGGTCACTGGGGTCTTTCCTCTGCTCCGCGTGGGCAGGGCCCGACCCACGCTCAGCCCGGGCGTGACCACGGCTCATTTGACGCCCCAGAGGAGAGCGCATGTAACAGACTCAGTGTGACCTCGGGCCGGAGACGCCAGGGACCAGGCCCCAGCCCTGCCTGGCTTGGGTAGAGCCCGGTCCCCCACCCCGCTGCCAAGGGGCTGGGCCAGGCAGCTGCCACGCCAGCTCCGAGATGCTACCCGGGGCCGGAGCGGTGCAGTAACGAACCTGCGAGAGGCCGGGTGCCGCAGCAGGGCACGGGGCGGATTGACCTGGGGATGTCGCAGGGGAGTTTTACTGGGACTGGCTGCACTGGGGGTGGGAGACTCTCCTTGAGGGACGATACCTGAGCACGTAACATGAGAACCCAGGTAGGGGGCTGGGGCCAGGTGACACCTACTGCCCGGGAAACTGGACAAAGGCTGGAGGAGGAACGAGGGGGGGCGGGGTGTGAGATGGCTGGAGGGGGTTTCAGTTTGGGGCTGGCTGGGGAAACGGGATGGAGACCCAGGACTGGGGTCTAAGCTCCTTGCGCCCCCAGAGGGACCTGGTTGTATCTACAAGCCCTGCTTGGGACTGTTCCTGTCGTCTAATAAACCTGCTGTGTTACTGGCTGGCTGAGAGTCCAGGTGAATCGCAGGAAATGGGGGGTGCAGGGACACCTCCCATCACACGGAGCTCAGAGGGACCGAGAGCTTCCAGCCCCGTCCTTATTTCAAATCCAGCCACAAAAGCTCCTCGGTTTGGCTAGACCAGCAGCCTCTGCTCAGGAGCTGCCCAGGACCAAGCGCTGTGGGGAGCTGAGAGAGCTGGGGCTGCGGGTCGGGAGTGAGGGGCACCGGCAGTGCTGGGGGCAGGGGGAGCCCAGGGCTGGGCTGGCTGGGGCTGCGGGTCGGGAGTGAGGGGCACCGGCAGCGCTGTGGTGGGACAGTTGGCAGAGCAGACACCTGTCACCTGTTCCCAGATGGCAGCAAGCTCTGGTTTTCCAGGTTAGTACGTTCACTCCTTGTGCCGCCGGCTCCCTGCGCCATGGGGCAGTGACACGCCAGGGGGACGGTGATGACAGACCGAGCAGCCGCCTGCTACTATACGAGGGAATCCCGGACGGTGCTTCGCTTCCTGCCCAGCGGCTGCGCGGGAGGGAACCCGGGGCTGGGGGCTGACAGAGGAATTGGTGGGTAATTAACACTCAGAGACCCACCAGGAGGAGGTGACTGGGGAAGGTCCCTGGTCCCAGGGACTGAGTGCCCAGGCCCCAGCACCCCCCTCCCGCCACAGCTAATCCCGTTAGCGCCCGCTCGGAGCCGGCTCCCGCTGCGCTAGGGCCAGGCTGCGCCCGGGGCCCAGTCCCCCGAACACACAGGGTGCAGTTTGTTACAAGGGGCTGCAGGGTAACGGGCTGAGTGGGGCAGGCCCAGACACAGCAGCCCCACGGGAGACCCAGGTCTGACCCCTCAGCACCCCAGCACAGGCCAGCAGGGACCCTGAGCTGAGGGAAGCTGGGACGTGGCCCTGTCTGGTCGAGGTGCGTTTGACTCCCGATGGGCTAATCACACGTTCGCAGAACCACTCCGCATCTCCTGGGGACAGCCGGGGCGAGGAGAGATTCAGCTCCCAGTGGTGCAGGAGATGGCAGAGGGGCTCTGTGCCTCTGACGGGGCCCCAATCCGCCCTGCGCGCCCCATGTCCCAGGCAGATCTGGACCACAGCCAGCGTCCCAGCCGGCAGACCTCGGTGCAGGCTAGCCAAGGTGCCAGAGGGCAGACAGACCCCTTGTGAGCCGTGCCGGGAGAGACGGGAATCAGGGCTGGAAACCCCACTGCAGCAGCAGCCAATTCCAAGCCAGGTTTGCAAATTGAATCCCTCCATGAGCACAGAGCACTGGGGAGATCGAAGGGGAGATGGTCCGGCTCCAACGGCTCCTGGAGCCAGAGTCCTGCACCCTGGGGTGGGGGAGCTACAGGAACCTGACCCCGGTTATCTCTTACCAGTAACGTTTAAACTCCAGACCCTGGGGCTGGTGGCCGGGGCCAAAGGACCCTCCACACAGATCCCACCACAGGCTGGTGGCCAGGGGGTGGGTCTGGCCCCAAAGCGCTTCCCAGCCCCGGCAACTCTACACAAAGGTTTCATTCCAGCCTGTGGCTGGGGCGACCCCACTGCAACCCGGCCACATGGAACCAACACGAATCTAGCCTAGCTCGCAGGGACAGACTGACGCCTGGGCGCTCCCCCACGCCCCCGTCAACCGCCGGCCCGGCATCATCCATCCCCCCGTGCTGGCCCCGCATCATCCATCCCCCCGTCAGCCGCCGGCCCGGCATCATCCATCCCACGCCCGCCGGCCCGGCATCATCCATCCCCCCGTCAGCCGCCGGTACGGCATCATCCATCCCCCCGTGCTGGCCCCGCATCATCCATCCCCTGCCCGCCAGCCGCCGGCCTGGCATCATCCATCCCCCGCCCGCCGGCCCGGCATCATCCATCCCCCTGTCAGCCGCCGGCCCGGCATCATCCATCCCCCGCTCACCAACCGCCGGCCCCGTATCATCCATCCCTCGCATGTCAGCCGCCGGGCCGGCATCATCCATCCCCCCGTCAGCCGCCGGCCCGGCATCATCCATCCCCCCGTCAGCCGCCGGCCCGGCATCATCCATCCCCCACCCGCCAGCCCGGCATCATCCATCCCCCGCCTGTCAGCAGGGCTGCCGAGAGCGGGTTCGGGCCCCGGTGAAAAAATTTTTCAGGCGCCCCAGCAAGGGCGGACCGGCTAAACAGGGCCGACGAGAGGGCGGGGAAGCCGGGCTCTGGGCTCCCTTCCGGACCGCCGGGCCCTGGTAATTTGTACCAGCTTCCCCCCCTCACCGGCCCTGCCCGTCAGGTGCTGGCCTGGCATCAACCATCCCCCCCGCAGGCTGGCCCTGCGCCCGTTCCGCCTGGCAGTGCGGTGGGGGAAGGGTGCGTTTGCATTTAACAGATCAGGGACTGACCTGCCCAGGGCTCTCGGGCACTGACTCTGAGGAGGGACCCCAGGCCAGCCCCTCGGCTGGGATTGTTACTGTACCACCCAGGGCCCAGGCCCACACTGTGCTGGGCATGGTCCAAACCCAGCACAGATCTGCCCTGGACCAAACAGCTCAACCCCACACTGGCCTCCTGGAGCCGGGGAGAGAACCCAGGAGTTCTGGCTCCCAGTCCCCCTGCTCTGCCCCCCAGCCCTGAGAACCCAGGAGTCCTGGCTCCCAGCCCCCCTGCTCTGCCCCCCAGCCCCCTCCCGGAGCTGGGGAGAGAACCCAGGAGTCCTGGCTCCCAGCCCCCCTGCTCTGCCCCCCAGCCCCCTCCCAGAGCCGGGGAGAGAACCCAGGAGTCCTGGTCCCCAGCCCCCCTGCTCCCCCCCAGAGCCGGGGAGAGAACCCAGGAGTCCTGGCCCCCAGCCCGCCCAAGCCGGGAGAGAACCCAGGAGTCCTGGCCGGGTCTCGCAGGCCCCTGCCCCCGCTCACCTGGTGCCGAGGCCGCTCCAAGGTCGCGGGGGCTCCGCTGGGGGCCGGGCTCGGACCGGACCAGTGGAGCCGGCGGGGGGAAGTCACGGCTCGGCTCGCAGCAGCGAGGTCCCCCCGGGACTCAGGGACCAGCCCCCGCCCCCGACACTCACCCGTCCGGCTCCTCCCCGCCGGGTCCGCAGCGCCCGCCGCTCCCCGCCGGGCCGGGCTCGTGGCCGCGCTGCGCGCCCCCGGCACATCTGGAATCCCCGAGCACGCGCTCTGCGCGCCTCCCCCAGCTTCACACCTGGAACGGCCGGGCCCGCGCCCTCAACAGCTGGACTGGCTCGGGCAGGATACACCCCTGCTGCACATCTGGACAGCCCGCTCCCAGCGCCCCTCCCCCGGGCTGCACAGCTGGACAGCTCACTCCCAGTGCCCCTCCCCTACTGCTTCACATCTGGACACTCCACTCCTAGCACCCCTCCCCTACTGCTTCACATCTGGACAGCCTGCCCTCTGCGCCCCTCTCCTACTGCTGCACATCTGGACAGCCTGCCCTCTGCGCCCCTCCCCCGGGCTGCACAGCTGGCCCAGACCCCCTGGGAACCCTGGGCAGGATACACCCCTGTGCACATCTGGACAGCCCGCTCCCAGCGCCCTTCTCCCGGGCTGCACAGCTGGACAGCCCACTCCCAGTGCCCCTCCCCTACTGCTTCACATCTGGACACTCCACTCCTAGCACCCCTCCCCTACTGCTTCACATCTGGACACTCCACTCCTAGCACCCCTCCCCTACTGCTTCACATCTGGACAGCCCACTCCTAGCACCCCTCCTCTACTGCTTCACATCTGGACAGCCTGCCCTCTGCGCCCCTCCCCCGGGCTGCACAGCTGGACACTCCACTCCTAGCACCCCTCCCCTACTGCTTCACATCTGGACAGCCTGCCCTCTGCGCCACTCCCCCATGCATTGGGGTGAGCAGAGACCCTGGCTGCTCCTTTCCTGCGGAGCACGGCCCGGCTGGGGCATCGGCCTCACCATTGCCATGGCAGGCAGGAGGCTGTACCTGCTCCAGGCACCTCAGCACCTGCCCTGAGGGCTCCCCGAGTTGGCCCCGACTCCCCCTCCGGCCCCAGTCACTGGGGCTGAGCAGCTGGTGTGACGGGTTGGGTCACAGAAACTCCCTTGGGACTGTCACCTGATGTGCTGAGACTACCTCTGAGCCCCTTTTCCCTTCCGGCTTGGGCCTCCAGAACCCTGCCTTGTTGAGCCAGACACATCAGCCTGCTGCAACACAGACCCAGTATGTGAATCATGCCCCCAAAGCTGCAGGCTCAACTGAAACTGGCTTAAGAAGTGCTCCTGTCTCCAGCACCCAGACACCCAGCTCCCAATGGGGTCCAACCCCAAATGAATCAGTTATACTCTGTATAAAGCTTATACAAGGTAAACTCATAAATTGTTCGCCCTCTATAACACTGATAGTGAGATATGCACAGCTGTTTGCTCCCCCAGGTATTAATCACTTACTCTGGGTTAATTAATAAACAAAAGTGATTTTATTAAATATAAAAAGTAGGATTTAAGTGGTTCCAAGTAATAAGTTATGAAGTAAGTTACCAAGCAAAACAAAACACGCAAGTCTAGGCCTAATACAGTACGAAACGGATTACAGATAAAATCTCACCCTCAGAGATGTTCCAATAAGCTTCTTTCACAAACCAGCCTCCTTCTAGTCTGGGTCCAATCCTTTCCCCTGGTACAGTCCTTATTCCAGCTCAGGTGGTAACTAGGGGATTTCTCATGACTGGAACCTCCTTTGTTCTGTTCCACCCCCTTATATAGCTTTGGCACAAGGTGGGAATCTTTTGTCTCTTTGGGTCCCCATCCCTCCTTCTGAATGGAAAAGCACCAAGTTTAAGATGGATTCCAGTACCAGGTGACATGGGCACATGTCCTGTGAGACCCCAAGCCTTCATTCTTCCCAGCCTGACTCACAGGAAGGCTTGCAAGTAAACAGCCATTTACAACCAATTGTCCTAGTTGATGAGAGACATCAAGATTCTAAACCATCATTAATGGCCCTCACTTTGCATAATTACAATAGGCCCTCAGAGTTATATTTCATATTTCTAGTTTCAGATACAAGAATGATACATTTATACAAATCGGATGATCACACTCAGTAGATAATAAGCTTTGTAATGATACCTTACAAGAGACCTTTTGCAAGAAGCTGTCACGGAGTGTGGGGGAGTCAGGGCCCTGCACCCCACTTCCTGCGATTCCCCGGGACTCTCAGCCAGCCGGTAACACAGAAGGTTTATTAGACGACAGGAACACAGTCCCAAGCAGAGCATTGTGGAAGCAGAGCAAGGCCTGACAGGAATTGGAAGGGAATTTCAGATGCAAACTGTCTTTGTTAGCAAGAGTCAGGCTAACTGAAACCCTAATAATGCGAGATTTGTAGAAGCGAGGATTGTGTGAGGCGAGTGGGAAAGAACTGTGTGAGAAGTTGTTGCGACCTTGTGTAGATAATGTGTAGCCAACATGGTAGACTAGAGTTTAAATAAGTGAGAAAAATAAGATATCAGGATGACCTATATATAAACAAAATGCAGCTGTTGCTTTTCATTGTCTGTAACAAAAGGTATAAATGCTTGCTGTAATTGTTTACCTGTAGAGAGAGCTGCCTCGGAGGGGGAGACCCTGTGTCCTAGTGCACTCTCTCCCTCTACGCAATTGCTTGAGAGAATAAAGTATCTGACTTTGCTGTTCTCAACCAAAAGAGTGAGAACTCTGTTATTCTCCGACAGCATGTAGGTACAACCACGACCCCTCAGTCAAGTCCTTCTGGGGGGGTTAGGGAGCTTAGACCCCAGCTTTGGGGTTCCCTACGATTCCCCACCCAGCCTAAAACTGAAAAACAAACCCCTTCTAGCCGTCTCTCTCCCCCTTCCCCCCAGCTTCTCCCCTCCCTTTGTCCAGTTTCCCGGCAAAGGTGTCACCTGGCACCTCCCCCCTCCTGGCTCAGGTTACAAGCTCAGGTAACTCTCAAGTCAAATCCCCTGCTCTCCCATCCCCATGCAGACAGTCCCAGTAAAACTAGACGCCATTCCCAGGTCAATCCACCCCGCTCCCTGCTGCGTCACAGAAGCATATTCCAGTTACATCATATTCACACTCATTAGCATACGGAGTGCACCGTCCCCGCTGGCTCTAACCAAGTGCGCAGACCGGGCCCGATCCCTGGGCCGTGCTGCAGCAGGGTCACCAAGCTCCCCAGCCAGAGCTGATGGCAAGTGTTCACACCTTCACTGTGCACCGGAGAATGTGCAGAACTGGGTGTGTGCTGCCTGCAGTGAGTGTAACCCTTCTGGCATCTGTCATGGACTCACAGATCGTGCCCACTCTTGGCCCCTTTCAGTGCGACAGCCCTTCTCGGGGGTCCACTCTCTCTTGGGGTCAGGCCCCTCCACCTCCTGGAGCCACACCTCTCGGAGCCTTAGCACATCTGTCTCTGCCGTGGGCCCCCTCAGGGAGTCCCCTCGCTCTGGACCCCCGGGGCCTTCACCCCCAAAGGGGTTGATGCCCCCCCTGTTCTCTAGACCGGAGTGACTCTCAGCCAGCATGAAACAGGAGGGTTTATTGAGAGTTGAACATAGCACAGGAAACTCTCTCAGGGCCTCAGGCCTGGCCTCCCTCAGCCCAGCACATCCCAGTCTCCCTGCATCCAGGTGGGCTCTGCCTGCTCTCCCTCTCCAGCCCAGCCCCCCTGCTCCCAGCTGGGCATCTGAGATCCCCAGCCCCAAGCCCCACCTCTGTCCATTGTCTTCTCTCCAGGTAACCAGGGTTGTAAACCGGGACCTCCGCTCCTCACTTCTGTCCTCTGGCTGGAACCGGCTGGTTAGGTCACTGGGTCCTCACTCTGCAGCCCATTGTCCTCCCACTGGCCAGAACCGGCTGTGACTCCTGGGCTGGGTCTCTGGGTCGGGGTCTCAGGTCACCTCATTAAACCAGTAACACCCAGAGAAACTGAGTCCCACCCCCTCCGCATGCAAACCATTGAAACCCACCGAGAACAAGAAAACCCCCCCCACTTCGTCACAGCATCAGGCACACGTACCTGTCCCCAACAGGTGTGTCACTCCTGTGCACGTGTTTACTTGCAGCATGCAAGTGTGCATTTCTGTGTGTGTGAGTGTGAGTGAGTGTGCATGGAGGTGTATGTGTAAGTGAGTGTATTTGATGTGCGAGTGTGTGTCTGTGTGTGTGAGATCCTGCATGGCAGGGTGCCAGTGTGCACCTGTGTGTGTGAGTGTGCACCTGGGCAGTGTGCATTTCTCTGTGTGTGCATGAGCATGGCGATGTGTGTGTGCACCTGTGTGTGCGAGTGTGCACCTGTGTGTGCGAGTGTGCACCTGGGCAGTGTGCATGTCTCTGTGTGTGCACCTGGGAGCGCACGCGCTCCGTGAGGAATGTTTGCCCAGACCCAGAGGCCGGCCTGGCACGTCCCACACAAATATCCTCGACAGCTCGCTGTGCTGCAGAGACATTTACAACCCAGCCGGACACAACATGCCTGGGGCTGCATGTAAACACAGGGAAGGAGAAGGGACGCTGGCGGGGGGGGGGGGGGGGTCGATCAGCCCCTTTGGTGCCTTATTGTGTGAATGTCATAATACTTTTCTATTTGATGACAGCATCTGGGCTGTGGGGGGCCTGGAGCGAGCAGGGCTGGGGGCCAGTGAAGGGGCCCAGAGTGAGTTATGGAAAGTGGGGTGCACTCAGAGAGAACGGGGTGCAGCGAGCTCAGGGGGGCTGATTTGCCGGGGAAGGCGGTAGGAGCCCAGCCAGTGATGAGACGGCCGGTTTGGGGGCAGGTGTTTCGTCGAGAGCCGTGCAGCCGTCTGTTGGGTCCGGTCCAGGGCTGCTGGGCTGTGGGTGCTGGGGGTAGCTCTGGGTAACATGTGGTTGGACCCATCATTGGAACAAGCTGGGCTTTGCCCTGTGGCTGCGGGCGCGGCCTGGGGCCAGGCCGGAGAGGTTGATGGAGCACTGGGGACATGGCTCCAGGGTCGGGCCGGTTCCTGTCGCTCGCCCGTTGGTCCGAGGGTGGCAGGCGGAGGAGGGGCAGGAGCGGATGCCCAAGATCTGGAGAGCATCTCGCCTGACGTGGGAGATGCACCAGAGACTCGGTTGGCAACGCTGCGTGGAGGTGGCTCCATGGTTTGGGCAGAGCCGGGGCGGTTCCTGGCGGGAGGGCGGCCAGTGCCGGGATGCAGTGTGCCGTGGGGCGGGCCCTGCTCCCAGAGCTGGGGG